TTAGTATGTTGCTATTGCTTTCTTCATGACTTATACATGTTCCTATGACTATGAGATTATGCAACTCCCGTTTGCCGGAGGAACACTTTGTGTGCTACCAAATGTCACAACGTAACTAGGTGATTATAAAGGAGCTCTACAGGTGTCTCCAAAGGTACATGTTGGGTTGGCGTATTTCGAGATTAGGATTTGTCACTCCGATTGTCGGAGAGGTATCTCTGGGCCCTCTCGGTGATGCACATCACATAAGCCTTGCAAGCATTGCAACTAATGAGTTAGTTGTGAGATGATGTATTACGGAACGAGTAAAGAGACTTGCCGGTAACGAGATTGAACTAGGTATTAAGATACCGACGATCGAATCTCGGGCAAGTAACATACCGATGACAAAGGGAACAACGTATGTTGTTATGCGCTCTGACCGATAAAGATCTTCGTAGAATATGTGGGAGCCAATATGAGCATCCAGGTTCCGCTATTGGTTATTGACTGGAGACGTGTCTCGGTCATGTCTACATTGTTCTCGAACCCGTAGGGTCCGCACGCTTAAGGTTTCAATGACAGTTATATTATGAGTTTATGAGTTTTGATGTACCGAAGTAGTTCGGAGTCCCCGATGAGATCGGGGACATGACGAGGAGTCTCGAAATGGTCGAGACGTAAAGATCGATATATTGGACGACTATATTCGGACATCGGAAAGGTTCCTAGTGATTCGGGTATTTTTTGGAGTACCGAGAGTTACGGGAATACGTATTGGGCCTTATTGGGCCATACGGGAAAGAAGAAAAAGGGCCTCAAGGGTGGCCGCACCCCTCCCCTTGGTCTGGTCCGAATTGGACTAGGGAAGGGGGGTGCCCCCTTCCTTCCTTCTCCTTTTCCCTTCCTCTTTTCCTATTCCATATGAGAGGTGGAATCCTACTAGAACTAGGGAGTCCTAGTAGGACTCCACACTTGGCGCGCCCCCTCCTAGGGCCGGCCTCCTCCTCCCTTGCTCCTTTATATACGGGGGCAAGGGGGCACCTCTAGACACAAGTTGATCCACGTGATCATATTCTTAGCCGTGTGTGGTGCCCCCTTCCACCATAATCCTCGATAATATTGTAGCGGTGCTTAGGCGAAGCCCTGCGACGGTAGATCATCAAGATTGTCACCACGCCGTCGTGCTGACGAAACTCTTCCCCGACACTTTGCTGGATCGGAGTCCGGGGATCGTCATCGAGCTGAACGTGTGCTAAAACTCGGAGGTGTCGTAGTTTCGGTGCTTGATCGGTCGGGCCGTGAAGACGTACGACTACATCAATCGCATTGTGCTAACGCTTCCGCTGTCGGTTTGCAAGGGTACGTAGATCACACTCTCCCCTCTCGTTGCTATGCATCACCATGATCTTGCGTGTGCGTAGGAATTTTTTTGAAATTACTACGTTCCCCAACATTAATCACATAACGTTGTGAACTAGATTATTGACTCTAGTAAACCCTTTGGGTATTAGTCACATGAAGATGTGAACTAATCACATAAAGATGTGAACTATTGGTGTGAAATCACATGGCGATGTGAACTAGATTATTGACTCTAGTGCAAGTGGGAGACTGAAGGAAATATGCCCTAGAGGCAATAATAAAGTTGTTATTTATATTTCCTTATATCATGATAAATGTTTATTATTCATGCTAGAATTGTATTAACCGGAAACTTAGTACATGTGTGAATACATAGACAAACAGAGTGTCCCTAGTATGCCTCTACTTAACTAGCTCGTTAATCAAAGATGGTTAAGTTTCCTTGCCATAGACATGTGTTGTCATTTGATGAATGGGATCACATCATTAGAGAATGATGTGATGGACTAGACCCATCCGTTAGCTTAGCACTATGGTCGTTTAGTTTATTGCTATTGCTTTCTTCATGACTTATACATATTCCTATAACTATGAGATTATGCAAATCCCGAATACCGAAGGAACACCTTGTGTGCTATCAAACATCGCAATGTAACTGGGTGATTATAAAGATGCTCTACAGGTGTCTCCGATGGTGTTTGTTGAGTTGGCATAGATCAATATTAGGATTTGTCACTCCGATTGTCGAAAAGGTATCTCTGGGCCCGCTCGGTAATGCACATCTCTATAAGCCTTGCGAGCAATGTGACTAATGAGTTAGTTGCGAGATGATGCATTACGGAACGAGTAAAGAGACTTGCCGTTAACGAGATTGAACTAGGTATGATGATACCGATGATCGAATCTCGGGCAAGTAACATATTGATGACAAAGGGAACGACGTATGTTGTTATGCGGTTTGACCGATAAAGATCTTCATAGAATATGTAGGAGCCAATATGAGCATCGAGGTTCCGCTATTGGTTATTGTCAGTAGATGTGTCTCGGTCATGTCTACATAGTTCTCGAACCCATAGGGTCCGCACGCTTAACGTTCGATGACGATTTGTATTATGAGTTATGTGATTTGATGTACCGAAGCTTGTTCCGAGTCCCGGGTGAGATCACGGACATGACGAGGAGTCTCGAAATGGTCGAGACGTAAAGATCGATATATTGGAAGGCTATATTCGGACATCGGAAAGGTTTCGAGTGATTCGGGTATTTTTCAGAGTACCGGAGAGTTACGGGTATTCGACGCGGAAGTAATGGGCCTTAATGAGCCATACGGGAAAGGAGAGAAGGGCCTCAAGGGGTGGCTGCCCCCCCCCCATGGGCTGGTCCGAATTGGACTAGGGAGGGGGCGGCGCCCCCCTCTTTCCTTCTCTCCCTCTTCCCCTTCCTTCTTCTCCTACTCCAACTAGAGAAGGGTGGAAACCTACTCCTACTAGGAGTAGGAATCCCCCTTGGGGCGCGCCATAGAGAGGGCCGGCCCTCCCCTCCTCCACTCCTTTATATACGGGGGAGGGGGCACCCCATAGACACACAAGTTGATAGTTGTCTTAGCCGTGTGCGGTGCCCCCCTCCACAGATTTCCACCTTGGTATATCGTTGCATTGCTTAGGGGAAGCCCTGCGCCGGTAGATTCATCATCACCGTCATCACGCTGTCGTGCTGACGCAGCTCTTCCTCGATCTCAACTGGATCTAGAGTTCGTGGGACGTTACCGAGCTGAATGTGTGCCGATCGCGGATGTGTCGTATCTTCTGTGCTAGGATGGGTCGGATCGTGAAGACGTACGACTACATCAACCGCGTTGTCATAACGCTTCCGCTTATGGTCTACAAGGGTACGTGGACAACACTCTTTCCCTCTTGTTGTTATGCATCATACATATGGATCTTGCGTGTGCGTAGAATTTTTTTCGAAATTACTGCATTCCCCAACAGTTATGTCGCCGGTGCTCACTGTCCATATCTTGACTCGTATGATGCTTGTTGCTACCGCTGAGAGATGAAGAAAGGGGATAGTGAACGGTGAGAAAGGCGTGAGAGGCTTTATGGCGTCGCTTCGAGAAATAACGTGGCGTCTCAACCATGTACCCCCTCCTAGCGGTCGCTCGGGTCTGGCTCACTGAAAATGACTATTCTCCGTTCATCCAGAGCTAGGCTTTGACTTGCTTTGAGTTCCGTGCGATGCATGTCCGGATTACGTAGACGACGAAACAGACAAAAACTAGAGTAATGTTACATCTAGGTGAAACACACATGTAAATTAACATAAACAACAACGTGGTGGGCTGGGATTGGAGAGAGGGCGAGGAAGGGGCCCACCCCCATTAAAAAAATCAGCATGGGGCGTAGCATTATTGCAAAAACTGTATCCCTTTAGCCCGATCGAGAGGATGGCTGGCAAGCAAATAGACCTTAACTCTACCACTAATCGAGTGGTACACACAGTCAGTGGCGGAGCCAGCTATCTGGCAAGGCCTGGCAGCTGCCACACCTAAATTTCAACCAAAGGTACTAGTACACCTACGTGCTGGACATGGACCTGGTACTACAAGTACGTAGCTGGTGGGGATGATGTAAAACTCCGCCGCACAGAGCACGAGTACACGCAGGATAATAAAATATGGTACTTAAATTTGGATTTTAGTTGTATTTGCGAAACACAAAGTATTTATATATCTAATATTCTAGGCAGTTTTTGGTCAGTTGCATTTTACATGCTTTTCTCCTTCATAAGCTCGGCCACACCTGAAAATTATTTCTGCATTCGCCACTGCACACAGTTTGTAGTGAGGAGAGTGCAAGCTCGTATGTACTGTACAACCAGTCGCTGCTAGAGAAGCCCAGCCCGTGGTGAAATGGGGCCGTGCTCGTGCTGGCCTATTTCCGGCTTAAGCCGTCCACGTCACGCGTGGAAACTAGCAGGGTGACGGGACAGTGGGGCACGTACGTGGACGTTGATGGATCAGGAGAGACGCGAGATCGACGATGACATCTTCGTCTCCACCGCATCGACTGTTGGCAGCAGGCAGGCTTAAGTTAACCCATGCAACGACTGGTCCTCCGTGCTAATTTGAAAACCAAGCAAGCAGAGCACGCTGGTCTGGTACCACTGGTGAAACACGAATTCCCCTGTCTGTTTGCAGCAGCGTGTTTCACCAAGTACGGCGACGTCGACGTCGACGTCGACGTGGAGAGAGAGAGAGAGAGATTCCTTGCTTCCACATGGCACGATGCGGTGGACGAGACTAGGGCCACATGGCACGGTGCTCAGTCTCCGTGTCTGCCTCGCGTGGCGTGGCAGCAATTAACCAGCTGGACGGATCGGTCGGGGCGATAACAATTCCGTCCTTTTCCACCGGCTCCGGGCCGTAGCACGCCGCGCCCTCTCGCCGATCGCTCTCGCTGCCTGCCATGCCCGTTGCTGTGTGATGTTTCAGTCCCCACGCCGTCGGTAAGATCGAGGGGGAAGCTCGGCAGGCAGGCGTCCCTCTCCCGATCGCCAGGCGACCCAACAGCAGTAACAAGCTCTCCCGTGGCAGCGTTGTGTTCTCCCGTGGCCGGGATGCATGGGTAGGGACGTAGGGTACGTACGAGTAGTATGAACTATGAAGTGAAGCTTGGGCATCGCTCCACATAACGTTCTTTCCGTGCTAGAAAACGGCCAGGCATGGCCCCACGCAGCGACCATGGCCACCACGTCCCCGCCTACATCAGCAGCAGGACAAAGAATGTGCCAAGCTCGAGTTTGGTTGTCACCACCATCACCGCAGCTATTATCCAGGCCAGGAATGTGCAGCCGCGCCAACAGTTCAGGTTTGGCGCCTGTTCCCCGGCCGTACACAACCCCCTTAACACACTACTAGCTCCGCATTGGCCAGGACTTCTTTTTTCGAATCAAGACAAGCAAGGCCCCAAGAGCACAGCATCAGCTTACGCTCCTCGCAGCGCACATTAGCATGTGAGGGCGCATATGGCCATGTCCCCCGGGCTCTGCACGTACGGCATCGGCCGGTTTATTAATGGACGGCGGCCGGCCGAGAGGGGCGTCGTGGTGGCTCTGGCCTCCAGGTGACCGGGTGCACCGCATCGATCATATCCTCGGATCCGTCCGTCACATGGGGGGGACGGAGCCAGCGGCACGGGGCGCGGGGGAGAGCCACGCCGCCATTGATCGGGCGGTACGGGCGCCGCATCGGCGACGTGGTCTGGTTGCAGAGCGCGAGGCACGAGAGACCCGCCAGCCCGGGCCGTGGCGATTAACCTGAATTTTCAGACCTGAAAGCTCGTGGGCGGCTGTTCTTCAGGACTCTTCACGGACGCACGGCCCGGAAACGATCTGATTCGATCCCGCATACAAGGAGCAGGTGAATAGATCGGGGTCACCAAACAGCAAATTATTATGATCGGTTGCGTAGACCCTTCTTCGGCGAAATCATGCCGTTTTTCCTTGAAGAGATGGACTGTTACTACATGATCTACGAATCATTGGGTGTGTCAATTAGTGCTTGGCATTCATTCAGGAAGAGGGAGCCGCTCCTACCACGAGAGAGAGATATTTAGTGGACGTTAACCAACAGTTAGAGGCGCTGGTACGGGAGTGGAGCGTACTTCAATGGTGCACATGGGGGCTCAACGGAAAGCACTTGTTATTGTCTTCTACTAACCTTAACCAACCATACTCATGGAACATTCATTGGGGTCGTTTGACTTGCTAAAGGAAATGGCTGGCCAATGGCCGAAAGACACAGACGATCGATTGGAAGGAAGGATGAGTAGTAGCTTCCATCTCTTTTGGACTTGGATAAAAAGAAGAAAAAGGACCCCCATGAAGTACAACTACTGGAGCATTTTAACACCGCAACGAACGAAAAGTGCTTGCACTGGCACAAATCATTGGATGCCTTGACGCCCACGTGGCCATAACTCCGGAAGAAAGCCATGCCATTGTCACGCCACTCTTGTTCTTTCATAACGAAGGGAAAAAATGATTGCTATATCCTGGAGATCTCTGAATGAAAAATCTTCAGGAAAAATGGCAGATGACAAGCATAAAGAAGCAATGACATGCCCAGACCAAACTTGTTTCTGGGTTCTGTGCTGCTCAATGCAACACCCGAAATTTTTTGCATCTCAGTACTGCCGCTCAAAGCAACTGCTCTCATGTTAAGGCCGAAATGGAGCAGGAGAATCAAATTCTTCAAGTAGCAGCGGCAACTGTAGCTGCTCAGTCAAGAATGTTGCTGGACCTTACTTAGACAAGAGGAAATAGTCAAGGCATGCAACATATATACATGATTACATGCTACTGTACTGAATCCTGATCCCTCCCCTCGCCCCCTCCTCCCCAAATCCACCCCAATGCCTCCCCTAAGCAGCTACCATAATTTTGCCTCTCGAGCACCCTTCCTCATTTTCCAGTACAGTAAGAACACAAGGTCCCAAGTCCAAAATACAATCCTCCGCGCCGCAAGTAACGTTACTAGCTCACTTATCATCGCTGGTTAAGCCCCGATTATAGCGGCCATATCCTCTTCCGATGACGTTTCAGGTCTGACAATCTCTTCAGGCGAATCGTCCAGCAGATAGTCCTCAGCCTCCGGCTTTCTAGGCGGTTCAGTTTGGATCAATCTCCTTAGCTCCATCTCCAGTTCTTTCGCGACGCTCTCGTTTTTAGTAAGGAAAGCTTTAACGGCATCTTTACCATGGAACTGCTGTTCGTTGAAAGAATAATACGCGCCCCCGGTCTTTTTAACAAGCTTGTGCTTTAACCCAAGATCAAAAAGCTCTGAACTGCGGCATATTCCTTTTCCAAATTCCAGCTCAAACTGTGCAGTCCTGAACGGTGGGGCATGCTTGTTTTTCACAATCTTCACAGTAACCTGACTTCCTATAATCTGCAAACAAAATTCATTGTCATCATTTCCACGAGATTGTTAGATAAGCAGCGTGTATAATGGTTCAAGCCACTCATCTCACATGCCATATGAGGAACCTAATCTGCAAGGGCAGTTATTTTATTTTACCCAGTGATGGCATAACTTAATATTCAATTCACTGCATTGATAGCAAAAAACAAGCCTCTAAGAGTTGCATGTATCGCATGTCTAACAGAAATTCAGCACAAAGAGACAAAAAAAAAGGGCAGCCCCAGTGCATGTAGCTCCCGCTTGCGCAGGGTCTGGGGAAGGGTCCGACCACTTTGGGTCTATTGTACGCAGCCTTTCCCTACATTTCTGCAAGAGGCTGTTTCCAGGACTTGAACCCGTGACCTCATGGTCACAAGGCAGCAGCTTTACCACTGCGCCAAGGCTCCCCTTCAAATTCAGCACAAAGAGACAATTAAAAAAAATGTCTCATGCAGGTATGACCCTCAAAAGAAGTCAGTTTTGAACACCAAAACCAACATGTTAAAAGTATCAGTAAATTTCCAAAAACAGCTAATGGTAAGGATATAATGAATTAGTACATTACCTCTTCACCTTTCTTTACCATGCCAATTCGCCTGATGTTCAGGCGAACTGAGGCATAAAATTTAAGGGCATTTCCACCGGAAGTGACCTCTTGTGGCCCTCCAAATCCTCCCCCAAACGTCTGTACCTTAGACCTGATCTGCAACGTGTTTAAGGATACAAGTTATTAAAAAAATCAAAATATGTGAAGACGAAAAGACTGGAGAGGTTATTGCAATGCCAAACATGGGAATTTTCAGGAGAAATGCAGGATAAATGTGCATAATAATGATGGCCATCTCCAATTAATCATGCCCAACAGAGGATCAAGAAGAACCAGTTGTATATATACTTTTAATGTTTCTTAATCTTCAAAGAAAAACATTTCCTAGCTTCAGCGGAATATCATTCTGGAAGTTTCCAGGTAATTATACCCTCAAGTAAAATTAAAATGGCTATCAAGACTTATTGACTTGCATCGATAAAATAAATCCAAATTCCAGTAGTAGATGAATAATTGCAAAATTATGTGAGTTGTCTACTCACTATTGAGCCATAGAAGGAATCCTATGCCAACTAAGAAGTAAAAAACTCAAAGAAATGGCCGTATAATTAGTACCTGATTAATAAATAGCAAAACTGTCTGGGATAGTGAAAGAGAATGGCTCAGTTTGCGAAGAGCTTGACTCATCAGTCTGGCTTGGAGAGCCACATGTGCATCACCCATCTCTCCATCAAGCTCGGTCTTGGGGACAAGAGCTGCTACCTGCACAATAGAATAAGATGAATAGTGTAAATAACTCTGAAATGAAGGAAGAATTTTGGTTATTAAGATTGAGTAGCATGCTTAAAGTATTAACTTGACAATGCACTAATTTGAGCAGTATTGCAGTCATGATTAAGTAGAAACTAATTCTGCTATGAAATAGAAAATCAGATGGGAGGGGCAGCGGTCAAGGTCTTACACTGTCAACAACAACAACATCAACAGAGCCACTTCGAATCAGCGTGTCTACAAGACTGAGTGCTTGCTCAGCAGAGTCTGGCTGAGAGAGAAGCAAGTTACCGGTGTCGACACCAATTGACTCTGCCAGAGTTGGATCCAAAGCATGCTCTGCATCTACAAATGCACAATAACCTAGAGACAAGGCAAACCAAAAAAATAAAAAATAGTTAAGTTGAATTTCGATAGCCACAGGACTATGCCTATAAACTTGAGTACACTTAAACCAAGATTTAATTCCTTCAACACGTTTAACTGTGCCAAGTAAAAAATTGTGGCTCATACTGAAACAAAGTAAATCAGGATTATGGAAGAGCTCCCATTCATGGACTCATAGTTGACTTATCTTCATATTACGTACTCTTATGCATAAATTAAATTTTCACCACATTCTATTCTTTAAGCATAAAAGAGCATGTATCATATCAGATGCAAACAGAAAGGTCCAAAATTAAATACACTGGATTACTAATGTACAGCACAAATAATTTGGGAATTGACATGAAAAGAAACTCAGCGTGAGAACTTTTAGCCAATTGTTCGAATAGTTTGGGGTTTAATAGGGAGGTTTGAGAAGCAACGTGTGTACAAAACAGAATTAACAATACATCTTAAGGTTCACGTTATTAAGCAGTTGCAGGTTAGCAGAACCTTGATTAATGCATGCTACATCAACAGCAGTTGAATAAATAATATTTCTGAATCACCACGCGCTCAGTCCTATACGGACATGCTACGAAGTCCACACTTACTTCCATAGACTGAAGGGGAACACAGAAGGGTGCCACTTTTCTCTAGTACTAGTAATTAGCCAATCACAAGAAAAGGAAAACAGAACATCAAAAGGAAGTCAGTTTCAAAGTTTTGGGCTTACCACCGCCGCTAAGCTTTTGTGCTTCTGCAATAACGTGAAGAGCAAGAGTTGTCTTTCCTGAAGCCTCTGGGCCGTACACCTCTATAACACGTCCCTGCAAAGAATAATGTAATGCCAATTTAACAAAACAAAATACATCATTGCAAGAAAACCATAAATGGTTGCTAAAAGATAACACCATGAACGGGACTAGTGACTAAAGTCAAATGTAAAAGAACAATTTTGTGGTACCAAGCAGATTACAAATTGCAACATAATGAGCATCAAAGAGCTTCCACTCTGAAGAACATATGTAACTGTATGGGAATGTGTACCTTTGGAAGCCCACCAATTCCCAGTGCCAGATCCAAAGAGAAAGATCCGGTAGACACAGCAGGTACTTCTCTATGACCTTCAGAGCGGCCAAGCCACATTATTGCTCCTTCCCCGAACGAAGTTGTTATTTGATCAATGGCCTGATGTAAAGCCAAGTCTTTCTTTGACATATTCTCCTCACCGGAGTCGGTGCCACTTGACTTTGACTTCTTTTTGGCTAACCATAAGAGACGAATCACTACATGATTCAGTATGTAGTACGAGTGGAACATAGTTGGAGCAAATCATGCAGTGCAATACCGCAGTGCAGGTAACAGTAAGAAGTACTAAGAAATGATTCATTAGGTGGTAGCAACGAAGCATAATGGAAGACAAATAAGTAATCATGCAACTGAATTTCCTAAAATTATATGTAGGTTCAAATATCAGTTCGAACAACAAAATTAAGCAATTATAAATCGATCCACATATTGCAATGCTCAGAATACATGGCAGAATATTTGCATGAACATATGGAGAAATGATGTCTACAACCTTTAGATGCGAAATCTCGGCAATGAAAGGTAGAGCCACATATCACCTGCCTATAGCTCTGCAGAAATATCAAAGCATTAGCAACAACATATCACTGTTCCATTGTTCGTAAACCATTGATTCTTATGAAATTGCCCCACATAAATCAGCATCCTCTTATAGCCCATTAGGGAGAGACACTTGGTGAACTCTACTGCGCTATCGCGTTTCCTTCAGTAATTCTTTTGAAGCCTATCGCGTGTGATACATTTCTTCCATTGATTTTATTTAATCCCTAACGGATACAAGCATACCAGAAAGGCGCTGCAAACAAACTCTTCAGGCCAGCTAGACGGCTACAACTTGCAAGGATGAAAATTGCATGGCGCTAATCGAGTCTAAAAAAAGCAGTTGATCTATTTTCAGTACTCCATCACAGGTAATAAATCTAAATAAAGCAGACAACATATTATCACAAATTGCATTTTCAAACGGCAGGTTCAGAACAGGGGGTGATAGGATATATACCTTAAAACAAATCAGTAAAAGAATAGTGTTTAAAACGGCGTCATCTGGTGAAATACACTAAATTGGAGCGGGTTTACAGGCTCTCACGGTGGGAAATCGAGATTAAAACAGGAGAAATCGGGGCCTAAAAAAGGAACGCAGCCGATCAAACTCCGAGACCAGAGCAGGGCTCTGGCATCCGATCACTGCAGCGGAAGCATTGGGCTCGTCCGCTCTGGCTGCGCGCCCCCAACCCACAACCCGTCCGAAAATGAAAACAACACACGCTTTGCGCACACAGCGGAGAGGGCAGGAGCAGGGAGAGTTTCGACCTCGGGGCTGGAGGCGGTGGCGGCCGAGGCGGCGGAGGCGATGGCCCGCCGCAGCGACGCGCGCCTCAGGAGGGTCGCCATGGCGGCTCGGCGGTCTCCGTCCCCTGCAGCCGCGAGGGGAGGATTTGGGGAGGGATGGGGGGCTAGGGTTTAGGGTTTTGCGCGCTCGGTTTTTTCTTTTCTGCTCAGTGTTTTCGGCCGCCGCCTCCTCCTTTTGTTTTGCGCCCCCGGTCTCTGCTCTGCTCCCCGTTCTCGGGCCACGGGAGGCGCGGGCGAGCGCCCCACTGCTGGCCCGCACACCATGGGGATTGGGGACCTGCGACGACCAACGTGGGACCCACGTGTCTGCGTCGACGAACTGCCCGAGACCGGTGTGGACCATGTCCACGGAAGTGTTTTTTTAAGCAAGCGTCCACGGAAGTACGACCTCCTTTTCTTCTTCCCCCTGGAACTACAGGCCCACGCACAGTCAAACAGCACAGCCGCTTTCTCTGGACTGGAGGCCCAATAAGAGGCCATATGGCCCGGCCCGGCCAGTACCTTCGTCTCCCTCGGCCCTGCCACTTTCTCCCCAAAGTTTCGAGTAAGATCCGGGCATCCGGCTCCCCTCCACCTCCACGTGGGATTCGCGTGAATTTCCCCGTCGTTCTCCAAGGACTGTGCCCCGAACCATCCGCTTCGGAGGGGCTCGCTTTGAGTGAGATCCAGTTCTTGGGCCGCCATTGCTGCGGCGCCCGCGTCCGTTCCCGGCAACAGGAGGAGGTCTCTGTGCATGCCCGTCATCTCCCCCCTTCCTTTCTCGCTTTTGCCAGCGCCGGCTGCTCCCGCGGCGTCGCGAGCTCGCTGGAACAGCTTCCCGCACCACCGGCTTTTGCGAGGTAATCTGAGCTCGCTTTCTCTGAAGTTCATGTCTTCTTTTGTGCTTCCGGTCAACTATGTATATGCTGTCGGTGTGGCCTTGGCGACTTGTCGCTGACGGTGGTTCGCCCCATTAGCCGTGCTCTGGAATGGATACACTTGAGGCTGAAATTAGAAATGTTCTGCGTATTTGATTTGATATCTGGGTTGCCTCTGAAGCTCCCGTTTGAGCTGAACTCAAATGCAGTGCAGATGCGAATGGGCTAATCTGGACTGTGGTCTTGGGCTAGAGCTGTACTGCTTAATATATGAAATTATGTACGGCTACATACGTTCTTGCTCCACTGCTAACTAGTACTCCAATGAAGCATAATGGAGTAGTTCAATATCGTTTTAGATCAAATCATTCGATTTACTTGAATTAGAATTAGTTATACTGAATGCGGTCGAAGTTAGCATCGTCTCCTACGAATAAGTGTGATGTTTTTGTGTGGTCTGACGCCGCTGTCAGTTGAAACAAAAGCAGGCATGTGCAGCAACGGTTTTGATTCAACTAACTGCCTTCGTATGGAGGAGGTTGAGCCGAATTTATCCCCATTTCTCCACAAGCTTTTTAAAGAGGTTGGTACTGTTTGCACTTCTGTATGTTGTTGATAACTATAAACAGAAATGGAAACTGAGTGTATTGGGAAATGGCGAATGGTTGTTGCAGTGGGATGACTGCAAGGCGAGGGGATTGTTTCACCACAACATCACTACCTGTGAGACCAAGGTTTCACGTTCTTCTCTGATTAACTATACTGAGAATTATCTGGGTTTTTTCCCTAGTTGAATTTCCTAGTGTCACGTTGACAGGTGCTACCTGGAGAACACAATTTTGTTGCAACATTGATAGAAGGGCGTGACCAGAAGAAGCGGCCAACTGAATTTGGAATGAACCAAGTCCTCCAACCATTTCATAGTGACAAGTTCAATTTCACTAAAGTTAAACCGGAGGAGGTGATCTTCAGGTTCCAAGAAACTGAGAATGATTCTGCCCAGTATTTTGACGGAGCTCCTCCCACTGTTTCAGCTTCTCCTAGCAGCATTTTGATCAACGTGAGTGTGTGTCCGTCTCTGATATTACTTCTACCTCGTATAGACTTAATTTATCTTTTCTGTATTCTGTCTCACAGGTGAGCCCAATCGGGTACTGTCATGTGCTTTTGATCCCTCAAATCCAGGAATGCTTGCCGCAAAGGGTTGATCGAGAGAGCTTCTTACTGGCCATGTACGTCGCAAGGGAGGCAAAGAATCCATTCTTCAGAGTTGGCTATAACAGTCTGGGTGCTTTCGCAACAATCAATCACCTCCATTTCCAAGTTAGTCATACTCAAACTTCATTGATTATCTCTGCCTTATGCTTCCCTCTCACAGATATTGCTTGTCAGGCATACTATCTGAAAGTGCAGTATCCAGTCGAAAAGGCGCCAACAGAAAAGCTCACAGTCGTAGGGAACGGTGTCAGCATTTCTCAGCTGGTGCGGTACCCAGTAAGCGGCTTTGCATTTGAAGGGGGAGCGAGCCTGGAGGATCTGTCACAGGTCGTCTCAGATGCATGCATCTTCTTGCAAGAGAATAACAGACCTTTCAATGTCCTTATCTCTGAATCTGGCAAGAGATTATTCCTTCTACTACAGGTACAGTACTGCAAATGCAACCTCGGCTTTATTTGTGAACTAGAACTGGATTGTCGGCTTAACATTTATCTCCCTCTGTTTGATCGACGAACCAGTGCTACGCTGAGAAGCAGGCTTCCGGGAAGGCGAGCCAGGAATTCCTCGACATGAGAATCAACCCAGCGGTGTGGGAGCTCAGCGGCCATCTGGTTCTGAAGAGGAGGAAGGACTACGACGAAGCATCTGCGGCAACACTATGCGGGTTTTTGGTTGAAGCGTCCCTGTCTGAAGCAGAGTTCCAGGAGCTGAAGAAGTGCGTCTTGGAGTTCCTGGCCAGTGCAAGTCCTGAAAAGTGAAAAGTAGAGATGAAACCAAACCAATTCTGAGGTGCTGATCAGTAATGTTGGGTGTGCTAAGTCGTTTCAGATATGCTGTCAGCTGTCAGTTCAGCATGGTCCTGAGGGTCTCTATGATTGTTCCATGTAACCAACTAAGTTGGTGACAACTTGTACATTGTCCTTCACTGTTTCGGAGCCGAATCACTCCATTTTTAATCAAAGCCTCAAACACCATGATCTTCCATCGCGCATGCGCTACCGAGGCCGTGCTATTTCGGGCGTACAATGGTTGCAACTAGTCCTGCCGGATTGGATATCTATCTTTTGTCGAAGAACGATGCCAAGTGGCCTATTAGCTCAGCTGGTTAGAGCGTCGTGCTAATAACGCGAAGGTCGCAGGTTCGAGACCTGCATGGGCCAATAGTTTTTCCACATGGCTTCGTTTCATTTCATTATTATTGCACGGGCAAACCATTTTATCAGAAGGCTTCGTTTCATTTCATTATTATTGCACGGGCAAACCATTTTATCAGAAGATGGACCCACCGTACAGACTCCACACAATAGTTTTTTTTTTTGAGGGGGTCGCCATAGCTCGGAGGCGGGGACGGAGACCATTTCATTTCATGCAGAAGTGGACCAGGCCCCATGCCACTTGCGTACCCTGCCCACCCATGAGCGAGCAGTCGAGCAGAGAGATTCCTGGCCCCGTACCGAAAGGGGGAAGCCATGCAAGGGACCGGGGCACCGCACGCAGGCCCGCCATATGCCC